ACCCTTCATATCCAAAGGCTCCTGACACCAAAATAAAAAAAATTCTTTAAAATTGCTCTTATAAAATATTTGGTTAGTTGGGGCTGGGAAGGTGGCTCAGTGGTAGAGCACTTGCCTTGCATGCCTGAGGCCCTGGGTTCCATTCCTCAGCACCACATAAGCAAAAAGAAAAAAGCGGAAGTGACCGCTGTGGCTCAAGTGGTAGAGCGCTAGCCTTGAGCTGAAGAGCTGAGGGACAGCGCCCAGGCCCAGAGTTCAGGCCCCACGACTGGACCCAAAAATAAAAAAACATTTGGTTAGGGACTGGAAAGGTGGCTCAGGGGTAAAGTGCTTGCCTTGCATGCATGAGGCCCTGGGTTCGATTCCTCAGCACCACATAGGTAGAAAAAGCTGGAAGTGGCGCTGTAGCTCAAGTGGTAGAGTGCTCGCCTTGAGCTGAAGAGCTGAGGGACAGCGTCCAGGCCCAGAGTTCAAGCCCCACGACCAAAAAAACAAAAACAAAAAAAAAAACACTCATAACCTACTTACCTACTGATGTAATAAAAAACATAAAGTCCCTGGAGTCCACCCTACCCTGTCCATTTCCCTCTCAGCTACCTGGATATACCCTACTTTTCTTTGTTTTCTTTCTTACTTTTTTTTTTTGGTCCGGTCGTGGGCCTGAACTCTGGGCTTGGGCGCTGTCCCTCAGCTCTTCAGCTCAAGGCTAGCACTCTACCACTTGAGCCACAGCACCACTTCCTGTTTTTTTCTTTTTGCTTATGTGGTGCTGAGGAATTGAACCCAGGGCCTCAGACATGCAAGGCAAGCGCTCTACCACTGAGCCACCTTCCCAGCCCATCCTTCCTTCCTTTATTCATTTCTCTTTCTCTTTTTTTTCTGTGCTACTGGGGTTGAACTCAGAGCTTCACAGTAGATAGGTAGGTGCTCTACCACCTGAGCTATACTCCCAGCCCTTTTTGTTGTAGTTATTTCTCAGACCGGGTCTCTTGGTTTTGTCCAGGCTGGATTTACCCACAATCTCCTATCTGTGCCTCCTGAGTAGCTGGACATGCACCACCCCCAGGAAGGACCACTGAATCCAGGCCAGCGTAGACAATATAACAAGACCTAGTCTCAAAATAAAGAATAAAAAAGGGAGACAGGCATCAGACGAGGTGACTCAAGCCTGGAGTCATGAGATGGGGATGGGGGTAGTGAGAGCCAAGGCAGTCGGGACGTAAGTGTGCCAGGCCATCCCAACCAATGATTAGCATGGGCCGTGGCAACCTGCTCTTCTGCCAACCACCACAAAAGCACAATGGCTGCCTAGAGTAGCCCGGGTCATAATCCCCAGTCACACAGAGGTAGCAGTAGGCATGTCACGCCCTAGACCCGCCAAGGCATAAAGCAAGATGATACCTAAAAAACTGGTGGCTAAAAAGGGGCTTGGGCTGGGTGCCAGTGGCTCACGCCTGTCATCCTAGCTACTCAGGAGGCTGAGATCTGAGGATCGAGGTACAAAGCCAGCCCGGGCAGGAACCTCTCTGTGAGAATTAACCACAGAAAACTGGAAGTGGTGCTGTGCCTCAGAGTGGTAGAGCACTACTTGAGCAAAAAAGTTCAAGGACAGTGCTCAGGCCCTGAGTTTAAGCAACATGACCAACAAAAAAAAAAAAAAAAAGGGGGGGGGGTCAGCGGGCGCCAGTGGCTCACGCCTGTAATCCTAGCTACTCAGGAGGCGAGATCTGAGGATCATGGTTCAAAGTCAGCCCGGGCAGGAACATCCATGAGATTCTTATCTCCAATCAACCACTAGAAAACCAGAAGTGGTGCTGTGGCTCAAGTGGTAGAGCACTCGCCTTGCGCTGAAGAGCTCACTGCCCAGGCTGAGTTCAAGCCCCACGACAGACAAAAAAAAAAGAAAGAAAAGAAAGGGGGGGGAGGTTGAAAGCATGGCTCAGTGATAAGAGTATATCTTCAGGTCCTCAGTTCAGTCCCCAGTGCCACAAAAAAAAAAAAGCAAAGGAGAAGGTGAAAGGTAGAGACTTTAAAAATGCAGTCAGGAGCTGGGAAGGTGGCTCAGTGGTAGAGTGCTTGCTTTATATGCACAAGGCCCTGGGTTTGATTCCTCAGTACCACATAAGCAGAAAAAGCAGGAAGTAGTTCTACAGCTTATCTTGAGTTATCTTGAGCTGAAGAGCTGAAGGACAGCACCCAGGCCCAGAGTTCAAGCCCCAAACCAACAACAACAACAAAAATGCAGTCAGAACCAGGCACTGGTAGCTCACATCTATAATTCTAGCTACTCAGGAGGCTGAGATCTGAAGATCACTACTTGAAACCAGCCCAGGCAGGAAAGACCATAAGACTCTTAGCTCCAATTAGCCACCAGACAATCGAAGTGGCACTGTGGCTCAAAGTGGTAGAGCAAAAGTGTTCAAGGACAGCACCTAGATGGAGATCAAGCCCCACAACACACACTCTCTCTCTCTCTCTCTCTCTCTCTCTCTCACACACACACACACACACACACACACACTGCAGTCAGAAGGTCACAAAGAGATCAGGCCTAAGAATGCAATCTCCATCACCCTTTGGCTGCAGGATTCTAGAAGGACCAGGTGATTATGGAGTGCATCTGGATTCAAAATGCTCAACAGGAGGTTGTCAGACTCTTGCTTTATAAGTTGCTTGGCTGGGGATGTGGCTTAATGGTAGAGTGCTTGTCTAGCATGCATGAAGCCTTGGGTTTGATTCCTCAGTATCACATAAACAGAAAAAACCAGAAGTGGCACTGTGGCTCAAGTGATAGAGTGCTAGCCTTGAGAAAAAACAAGCTCAGGGACAGTGCCCAGGCCCTGAGGTTAAGCTGTAGGACTGGCAAAAATAAAATAAACAGTTGCTTTACACATTCTTTAGCTTCTGCTGGTCATTGTGGGTCCTGGTGACTAGTGCTTGCATTCTTTCCTAGCTTCAGTACGAGTGTCTCTCTAAACAATCCACTGTGGTTTGGATGAGTATTACCATATGCCCACAGGATACAGGTTTGGTCAGGAGGGTGGCAGTTCTAGGAGGCGTCTGTGTCAGGCCTCATGAGAGGTCTCTAGTCGTTAGAGGTGAGCCAAGGGCATTGTCGATCCCCAGTCTCTTTGGTGCTGCCTAGTTGCCCAATCTTGGAGTGAAAACTTCCCCACTCTTAGCCAAGCTGAATCCTGTTTGAGACAGGGTGTCTGTATGTAGCCCACACTGGCCTGGAAATCATCCTCCTCTGCCTCAGCCTCCACTGTGCGGAGCCTTTCCTCTCTACCAGTTAATTGTCTCAGGGATTTCATTCGAGTACTGTGAAGTTGACTAATGCAATTACTTTGTAAGAGCTTTTGCTACTGTAAGCCTTCTTCAGACACGAGTTCAGGGCTATCGGAACTGTATCTCAATTTTGCAATCCCTAAGACCCCAAATAAATTTCTTTTATGTTTATACTTTCTAAACTTGGATTATTTGGCAGTTTGGTTTGTTTTGCCAGTCCTGGTGCTTGAACTCAGGGCATGGGCACTGTCCCTAAGCTTCTTTTGTTCAAGGCTAGCACTATACCACTGGACTTACAGTGCCACTTCTGCCTATTTGTTTATGTGGGCACTGAGGAATGGAACCCAAGGTTTCATGCATGCTAGGCAAGCGCTCTACCACCAAGCCACATTCCCAGCCCCATATTTAGCAGTTTTTATTCTCACTGTATTGTTTAGTTTTACATACTTGTGAGCTTTATATAAATAAATGGGGGTGGGGGGGTCTGGGAATGTGGTTTGGTGGTAGAGTGCTTGCCTAGTATGCATGAATTTGTGCTTTCTTTTGGTTGGTCATGGGGCTTGAACTCGGGGGGCTATCCCTGAACTCTTTTTTTTTTTTTTTGGTTTGGTTGTGGGGCTTGAACTCTGGGCTTAGGCACTGTCCCTGTGCTCGTCAGCTCAAGGCAAGCCCTCTACCGCTTGGGCTACTGCACCACTTCCAGTTTTCTAGTGGTTTATTGGAGATGAGAGTCTCAGGGACTTTCCTGCCCGGGCTGGCTTTGAACCGTGATTCACAGATCTCAGCCTCCTGAGTAGCTAGGATTACAGGCGTGAGCCACCAGCGCCAGGCTTGTTCCTGAACTCTTTTGCTCAAATCTAGCATGGTACAACTTTGAGCCACAGCCTCACTTCCAGTTTTCTGATGGTTAATTGGAGATAAGTGTTTCACAGACTTTCCTACCCCAGCTGGTGATCCTCAGATCTCAGCCTCCTGAGTAGCTAGGATTACAGGTGTGAGCCACAGGTGCTTCACTATTGAACTTTAATTTGTTGTCTTCTGGTCCTACTCTGGTGCCAAATGAACTGTTTGGCTGCAGGGGTAGGGTATAGTCATGCTTAGCAGCATTTATTAAAACTGACAAAAGAATCATGCCCTGCATCTGTAAAGATCTAAGAAGGCACAGTGACATGGGTCACTCAGGAGGTTGAGGCTGGAGGATTGTGAGTTCAAAGCTAGCTTTGAACAAACAACAAACAAAACACTGGAAAACTCACTCCTATACATCAGGCGTGTGTACAAGAATATTCATAGCAGCCTGATAATGAGCCAAAGGCTGGAAGCCTCTAGAAACACCAAAAGTAGACTAGACTAAAAGTGTATGGTAGATGAATACAATGGAAGCTGTAGTCACGAAAAGGTGGAGGGAAAAAGCACACCTGTCTGGTGTGGTGGTGCAGGTCTGTAATCCCAGGGCCTGGCCTTACACCTTTGCTACGCTGTAAGACGCTGCCTCAAAACGAAAAAAGAAAAAGATCTGGTGTGTGGGAAGCCACACAGTAACCCCTTTATTTACTTAGGACATTTATGACGGCTCTCCCGCCTGGGTGAAGGTGCAGAAGGCAGAGAGCACGGAGGGCAGCACCGGAGGGAAGGGCCGCTGCTTCCAGGCAGGGGAGGGAGGCGTGCAGGGTGGTTTTGTTTTGCTTTGCTTTTTAGGGAACAACTCACAACCGAGGCGGACTGGAATGTGGAGACTCTGGGTTCGATACTTCCCGGTGCGGGTGTGGACGCCAGGCTGGCCTTAAGCTCGATGACCCGGGCGGGGGACGTTCTCTCGTTGACCCCAGGTGTTGGGGGGAGGCGTTGAGGGGGGACAGGTGTGGGGGGGC